GAGCCACCGCGGCCACCGATGGGACTCGGAAGGTCGCCTGGGGTCTGATGCCGGATCCATTTCTCCAGTCTCAGCTGGATCAGGAGCCAGGCGAGGGGATGGAGGGCCCAGCTTCCAAAGAGGGCGTCCACCTCTGGGGACCCAGCTCTGCCCCCGAGCCCCCGCCCGGGTCTGCACCTGGCCCCTTTAACCCGCTGTTGGTGGCTTCATCTGAAACGGGCTCTCCTTTTCCCCCATTCTCCAGGGCCTGAAGGGCGAGAGGGGCTCTACAGGAGAAAGAGGCCTCGCAGGGATGCCCGGGCAACCCGGGACCCCTGGCCACCCTGGACCACCCGTGAGTGCTGCATGGACGTGGAACAGGGAGATGCTAGAACCTGAAGCCAACAGTGATTGGGGAGACGGGGGGATATGAAACACCGAGCCCCTGTTGGAGCTGCATTGTGGGGGGGACAGAGAGCACGGCACGCTGGCCAATCGTGGCATGCCAGTCCGGGCTCTGCCAGGCTCAGCCTCTCCAGCCTTCTGTGCCCGCTGGGGGCAGTGCGGACGTGGCACTGTCCAGCCACACAACAGCACATGCAGCGCCGTGCCACATGCAGGGGCTTCCCCGGTGACCTCCCCGTTGGGCGCTGTGAAGTCTTTACGCCCGATGCACGGCGCCCACCCTGGCTGGCGAGGCCTGGGCCCACGCTGTGTTCTCAGCCACAGCATCCCCGGCGGGTTGGGGTTCCTGGTCCCTGCCACCAGGGGCATGGGCGTCGCGTGGGCTGGAGCAAGGAGGGCTGCGGAATGCTTCACGTCGTCCTCTTTGATTTCCCAGGGTGAGATGGGCGCGGATGGAGCCGCCGGGAAAGAGGTATCGTGAGCTCGGCTCTCCCCCTCGTGTGCGCTCTGTCATAGGAACAGAACGTAGGAGTGGCCGTACAGGGTCAGCCCAAAGGTCCATCCAGCCCCGTGTCCTGGCGGCCGACAGTGGCCAATGCCGGGTGCCCCTGAGGGAGGGAACAGAACAGGGAGTCATCCAGTGATCCCTCTTCTGACAAACAGAGGCTGGGGACACCATTCCTGCCCATTCTGGCTAATAGCCATCAGTGGACCTATCCTCCATGAATGTACCTAGCTCTTTTGTGAACCCTGTTCAAGTCCAGACCTTCACAACATCCTCTGGCGAGGAGTTCCACAGGTTGTGTGTTGCATGAAGAAATGCTTCCTTTTGTTTGTTTTAAACCTGCTACCCATTGATTGAGCCCTAGTTCTTGTGTTATGGGAACAAGTAAATAACTTTTCCTTATTTACTTTCTCCACACCAGCCCTGATTTTATAGCCCTCTCTTATATTCCTCCTTCGTTCTCTCTTTTCTAAGCTGAAAAATCCCAGTTTTATTAACCTCTCCTCATTGGCAGCTGTCCCAAACCCCTCAGGGTCACGCAGTGCTCTCTGCTCCCGGCACGTTAGTGCAAGAGGACTGTGTTTGCAGTCGGTGCCATCACCGAGTCTAGGCCCACAGCCCCTGCTTAGGCATCCTAGCGGGAAATAGCTCCCCACCCCCTGTCCCCCACACACATAGATTCCTGCATTGCCCACTTGCTGCCACCGGGGGCACCATCCCATCCCAGGCTGCCGGAAGGTGGGACTTCCTGGTTTGCCATCAGAGTGGAGGAAGTGACAGTTCCCTGGTTCCACCCCACGGCACCTTGGGAAGGGTGTACCAGCGACATGAATAGGCGGGGCTTTAGCGGGTCTGTCTTACTCCATGAGCTCTGGCAGACTCTCCAGAAGGGAGCCAGTGGCCAGCGTGTGGAGAATAAAAGGCAATGTCCCAGCAAGCGCATGCGACGTACATAAGGGCTCCTATCCTACAAGGGGTCGGCAGGGGCTGAACTCCCTGCCCCCACCTTCCTGCTTCCTGCACCCGGCAGGGTCGGTCTAACAAGGCAGGGCCTCGGCCAGGCGGGGTCGGGCTCCTTGGCACGAGAGGAGAGAGCAAAACACTGAGCACGATCAAAACCCCACGAGCGGGGTGCCCGAGTTGACGTGGTGCATCTCTGGCCTGTGCCACGCAGGGCCCCGGTGGTCAGAAAGCATCACTCCCGGCCCGACCCTCTCGGACTCGGACGTGGCACCCAGCTGCCCAAGGGGAGGCAAAGCTCTGGGCCAGATCCTCTGCAGCTGTTCAGAAACCTCGTGGATCCTCAGAGCCCTCCCCAGCCACAGCTGCCTGTCCTGTCCGATAAATCCTTCCACCCAGGCTTAGCCCCCGGCACCGAGACGGGCAGGGGCCACCGGCCCTAGGTCTAGAACCCATTTTGGAGCAGCACGTCTCTTCCTGTGGTGCTCACAGCTCCCTCCTGCCTCCTCCTAGGGCCCGCCGGGGAATCCTGGACCTTCAGGACCAGCTGGCCAGAAGGTAAGGGCAGGTTCCTTCGCTCCGTGACACTGAGCCTGCTGCCCCACCGAGGTGGCTGCGGAAGTGAATTTTCCCCAGCAGCTCTCCTGTGCCTGGGATCCCTGGCGGGACCGGCCCTTGCCCGTGCTGCCCAGAGAGCTGCTGTGCTGCCAAGAGCTCCCGTCTGCTGGCTGGGTGGGGACGAGGAACTGCAGAGATTTCTGCTCTGACAGTGTCTGGCTTCTTCCTGCATTCCAGGGCGAGGCTGGCACGGCAGGGGAGAGAGGGCATCCTGGAGAGAAGGGGAGATCTGGCATGCCCGGAGGACCAGGGAAAAGCGGCTCCATGGGCCCCGTGGGGCCCCGTGGTCCTCCAGGAGAGAGAGGCCAGCCTGGCTCCCCTGGACCTGCTGGCAGCCCGGGGACGATGGTAAGGGGGGGACGGGGACAGGGGAAGGGCCTGCTGCTGGGATGGGGGTGGGCAGTTCGTGCAGAACAGAACAGCCTGAACCAGGGTTCACGATCCGACCCCGCACGCCAGGACTCCGGCGGGCCATTCCTGGCTCTGCTACTGACTCACTGGGGGGCCCCGGGGGAGGCTTGTAACCCTGGTGCCTTTTCCCAGGCTGAGCTTTGCTTTGTGGTTTTTCCCCACCCCCCTCTTTCTAGGGCGACATGGTGAATTACGACGAAATCAAGCGGCTCATCCGGCAAGAGCTGAACAAAATGTTTGACGGTAAGTAGCGCGGGGGGGAAGGCCTGGCTCTGCTACTGACTCACTGGGGGGCCCCGGGGGAGGCTTGTAACCCTGGTGCCTTTTCCCAGGCTGAGCTTTGCTTTGTGGTTTTTCCCCACCCCCCTCTTTCTAGGGCGACATGGTGAATTACGACGAAATCAAGCGGCTCATCCGGCAAGAGCTGAACAAAATGTTTGACGGTAAGTAGCGCGGGGGGGAAGGGGGGGAGGCCGGAGGGCCGGCCCGAGCTGCCGCTGACGGCTCAGCGAGCAGCAGCCCCCTCCGGAGCCAGGTGGCCGAATCCCGGAGGGGTCGACTCTGCCCTTCCTGCTCCGCAAGATCAGCTGAGCGCTCCCGTGTGTCCGGCGTGGCGACTGAGGAGCGGACGGTCTGGGCTGCCCTCCCGCCACGGGCTGCCCCCTTTGAGTCAGCAGTCCGAGAGCAAGAGCCTGGGGGGGGGCTAACCCATCTGGTTCCCTTTCCCGCCCCTGCAGAGAGGATGCTGTACTACTCCTCCAGGATGCAGTACCCGGTGGAGATGGCTGCCACGCCAGGACGACCAGGCCCCCCTGGAAAAGATGGGTTGCCAGGGCGCCCAGGGCCTCCCGGATCCCCTGGCTTACCGGGACAGATCGGCAGGGAAGGGCGCCAAGGCGTGCCGGGCATGAGAGGTGACCAGGGCGCCCAGGGCCTCCCGGATCCCCTGGCTTACCGGGACAGATCGGCAGGGAAGGGCGCCAAGGCGTGCCGGGCATGAGAGGTGAGTCATTCCGGAAGCCGAGTATTGGCATCCCGTGTTCCCTGGGATGG